GTTGAGATAGGGAGAGCCAGAGTTCAAGGTTATCTTCCACTACGGTTTGAGTTCAAGGTCAGCCTACCCACGTGTTAGCCAGGTACAACTTAGCTGTACTCACAGTGTAGGTATTTGGTTGCCTCGTGGCTTACCCAAAGGAAGTAAACTAACGTCTGAGTGTAAATTCAAAGATTACCTACGTCGCCTCCCATTGTGCTTCTACTGGACAGTGCTGGTCTAGAAGTACAAAACAACGTGAAAGGTCATTCCTTGGGTGACCCGGGGACTTTAGCAGGGAAGGCCGAGCCTGGGAGGAGTGTGCATGATTTGAAATGAATGGGACGTAGTGTAGTGTGACCTGCTTCTGATTCCAGCACTCAGGAGGCAGAGGAAGAGGATTACAGTAGCTGAGGTCCAACTGGACTACAAAGCAAATTGCAGTCCAGACCAGTCTACGCAGCAAGAACTTGTATCCAAAAAAAAGCCTAGAAAAGAAGGTCAAAGTTCAAACAATAAGTAGAAATTAGAAATGACAATTTGTCAACATATAAATTATAAGACAAACATAGAAAGCCATAATAAAATAAATTAAAGGTGACACACCTACCATTATCATGTTAAAATAATGAGCAACTTTAACCTGATGCCTCATTACTGAACAGTTAAAAACCCATTTTTTAAAAAACCCTCATTGTTTTTTTCTGGAAGAAAAAAAGTCACATAAGAAGAAGTTAGGACACAAATGTGCAAAAGAGATTGACCACAGAAGACATAAGTGACTTGAAATAACTTTTATTTTTTATTACACTTTTACACTTATTTATATGCTTTGTGTGTGCCATAGGGCACATGAGGAGGTCAGAGCACAAGATAAAGCAATCAGCCTTCTCCTTCCACCAAATGGACCCCTGGGCCCAAACTCAAGTCACCCAGCTTAGCAGCCCATGCTTTTACCCACTGAGTCATTTGGTAGTCGACGTGACCTTTGTTTATAATGGCATTAGGCAGGGCTAACACAGGACACAGGATCTGGAAACCCGAAAGGAACACTTCTGACTCACACTTCCTCTTTGCACAGGTCTCCCACTGAAAAACAACTGACACCCAAGCCTTCCTCAGCCTTGAGGATCCTAGGATAAAATGGTCACCTCGCTCCTGCTTTCCCCACTTCTCAAGTTGAAACCCAGAAACATGGCGGATCTTAGAACGACTTCTTTAGGGCCCCTCTGTTCATCTCTAGAAGGATCCAGACCATTTGCCTACAAATCTGGGGGTCTAACTGGGTTCTGCTTTCTCGCTGTAAGTCAATAGATGACCTTTGGGAGTAGGCATGAGGGTCATTTGAGCTTCACCAAATCAGATTGCTGTTTGATAGTGATGCTGGATGTTGCTGGAAGTGGTATTATATAATGACTCCATTTCTCGAACTCAAGCCATAAGCTTAGAAATGAATACATCCCATTATGAGTTGTGTAGAAACAAGCTATTTCTACAAGCACATGCTATATTTATTTTAAAGTGGGGAAATGATTCATATAAACTGACTTGCTGTTATCAGGAGAACCATTGAACAGCTTACGATGTCTGTCTTGGGAATTTCAAATCTATAAATCAAGGGCAGGGAAAACTCCCTTCTCAGAACCTGTCTGGTCTAATAGGAAACTCCTAAGGACTTGTAAGAGGAAGTTACACATTTTCTCTCTCTCTCTCTCTCTCTCTCTCTCTCTCTCTCTCTCTCTCTCTCTCTCTCTGGGACAGAATTGAGATTCCAGAAATGCTCCACCATACCCCGTGTATGCAGCGCTGGCAAGAAACACAGGGTTTGTGCATAGTAGGCAATTACGACTGGGTGACAACTGTTTGATTTTCAAAACTATTTATTTGTTTATCTCTTTACTGGTGTGTGTGTATGTATGTGTGTATGAGCACATATGTGGTGATTGTGTCTGTGCACATGAGTGAAGGCTAGAAGACATCACTGGGTGGCCTCTTTTATCCCCCTCTGTTTGTTCTCTTTGAGGCAAAGCCTTTCCAAGAATTTGGGTCTCAAATTTGCTCTGCTCTGCTGGAAACTAGCAAGCCCAGGTGAACCCCCTCAAGACGCATACATGCACATCCATCAGAGATGAGGTTATAGACTATGTGCAAGACATTGAGTTTGTTACATGGATGCTGGGTTCTGAATTTCAGCTTTCATAATTATAGAACAAATATGTTTAACTGCTGAGGCAATGAGCCAGCCTTTAATTTCTTGCTTTTTGGGGGGAGGTGGGTATTCTTGATTTTGTTTTGAGATAAAGTATCATGCAGCCCAGACAGGCTTGAACTTGTTAGAAGCTTTGAATTTTTTCATCTTTATTTAACTTGTTTTATGGTGTGTATATGATGAGCATGTGTGAGCATAGGCTCATGAATGCCACAGTAGGAATGTAGAGATCGGAGGACAACTTTCAGGAGGCCATTCTCTCCTTTCACCATGTTTCCAGGGATCAAACTCAACTTGATCATTAGACCTGAGCTGAGTCATTCTCCAGCCCTTTTTTCTTGTTGGTTTTGGTTTCTTGTTTTTATTCATTTTTAATTTGGCTGCCCTGTCTCTTCCTCTCTCTTGAGTTTATTTCCATATCTATATATTAGCTTATTTTCATTTTTCATATTACTGTGAATTGGATTTTGTGTTACATTTTTAAAGATTTATTTGAGGTCGTGGTGTGTATGTGTGTGTGTGCATACATGCACATGTGTGTGCAGTACATGTCAGTACATGTGCCTAAGTACATGTACAAAGACTCGAAGAGGGAATCTTGTGTCCCCCTCTATTACTGTTTCCATGAAGCAGGGGCTGCCCCTGAACACCAGCACGTGGAATGGTCTCACCCACATCTAAGGTAGGTATTCCCACCTCAATTCCCCCAAACTAGAAAACACCTCACAGACATGGCCAGAGCTTCGTCTCCAAGGTGGCTTAGACCTGTCAAGTTTGAAATCAATAAAAACAATCCCATTGTATAATCAGCCACTCTCCTACTTCTCTGCTAAGCTGGAAGCCAGGATGCTCCAGCCGTCCTCTTATCTCTGCCCCTCTCCACTAGGGCTCCAGGCATGCGGTAGACCCCGTTTCATTGCACAGGAGCCGAGTTCCAAACTCTGGGCCTCGTGCTCACACAGCAGCCATTCTTAACCACCAAGCCATCTCTCTGCCCTCTCCCTTTAAAGACTCTACGCTGCATCTTTGCCATTTCCTGGGCCTCTTGTACTATCTCCTTTGGCTCCCTCATTTTTTTTTTTCCTCTGCCGCTCACCAACTCCATCCCAAATACATGACAGTAAGTGGCTACAGGTCTAAAACCAAGGGTTCTAAATCCAGCTTGCTGCGACCTTCTGGTGCCACTGACCTTGACCTATTTCTCATTGATGAAGACAAGAAACAGGAGAACATTGTTATAATGCTTAATTCAACTTTTATAAACAAAGAAAAAACAAAAATATTCCAGTTTTTCATAAAGTATGTAAAAGGAAAAACTGAAATATCCTAAGGTATTATTATTGATTTGGGTATTTTTTCCATATGCTAAGCAGAGAAATATACAAGTCTAGGACCTCCTTTCTTGTCTTAAAAAATGTAGCATTATCTTCTGGCAACAGTACAAAGTCTGTGGTAAGAGATTTTGGTTGTGTTTTTTGTTGTTGTCCCTAGAGACTAAACAGTGTCAAGCGGGAAGTAATCATTACTAAAGAGCTCCTGAATGAATGGATATGATCCTTCCTCCTTTTGGATCAATTAGACTTTCACAAGGCCAGATATGTGATTTATTCTATTGTCCCAGTACCAAAGTGCCTGCACAATGCAACCACTTAAAAGTGTTTGCAGCTGTGTAAGGTAGACACAGCACTCAGGAGGAAAAGGCAGAAAGATTAGAAGTCCAAGGCCATCCTGGTGAATTCAAGAGCAGCCTGGGATATATGAGACCTTATCTCAAATCAAAAGCCAAAAAAAGAAAGAAAGAAAGAAAGAAAGAAAGAGGGAGGGAAAGAAGAGGAGGAGGAGGAGGAAGAAGAAGAAGAAGAAGAAGAAGAAGAAGAAGAAGAAGAAGAAGAAGAAGAAGAAGAAGAAAAAAAGAAGGAAGGAAGGAAGGAAGGAAGGAAAGAAGGAAGGGCGAGCATGAGCTCTAAGCAAAGCTACCTGATTCTTTTTAAAACCATATCCACACCATGTGTATTAGTTAGCTTTCCAGTTGCTGTGATGAAATACCTGACCAAAGCCTCTTTAAAAGGGAAGGGTTCATTTTGACTTGTCAGTCAAGAGGACATTGTCCATCACGGTGGTGAGACATGCTAGTAGGAACAAGAGTGGGCTGGTCACATGGCATCAGCAGGAAGCAGAAAGAGATAGATGCTGGTGCTAAGCTTGCTTTCTCTTTTCATGCAGTTCAAGACACCAGCCGGTGGAATGACTCCACCCACCTCAACTACCTTAAATGCCTCACAGACTTGGCCAGAGAGTCATCCCCAAGGTGATGTTTAGATCCTGTCAAGTTAGCAATCGATAGAAACTGTCACACCATGTAATCAATCATCCCCCTATTGATGTCAAAAGCCCCCCGCAGACACCAGCACAGAATCATCTTTGGACCCGTGCCCTTGCTTAAAGACTTTGCCCAATAAGAAGGCTGATGGAGGAAACCACTGGGTTGGTTTAAATGTGCTCAAAACCCTCCCCAGTGCAGTTTATAACTTGAAAACATCTGCTGCTACTTTCCTCACCTGCATGAGAGCCGCTACCTCTAACTGAATTGTGTCAGCTGCCCCCCATTCCATACACTCCTAAGAAAGCCAGTACCTCCCATAACTAGCTAGATGCAGCCTAAACAACAAAATCCATGCAAGAAAAACTTGTCCAAACAGCCAGATACCTGCGTCCCCATTAACAAGTGTCTTCTGATCTCCACAGTAGCTCCCCAGTGCAAAAGTCTTTTGACAAAGCTATCTTTCTGCTCATTTAATTTTTTTGACTCTGGGCTGTTTTATTAGGTTCTGTTACGTATGGGAACGTACACAAACCAAGACACTGAACAGTCATAAGCCAGACAAAATTGATCTCCACCAGCTTAGAAATTTGGTTTTGTGACCACTGTCCTTGTAGTGGAAGATCTGAGGCTGATGACACAGATGGCTGCCAGGACTCTGCCTTCTTTCAATCAGGAAACAACATGAGCATCCCAGTCACTGGTTCTTCTTCTGTGAGAAACACAGGTCCAGCTTCCTCCGGGAATGGAGAAGTTGTCAGAGGCGCTTCCCTCTGAGCACACAACAGGGAAGGTCGGACTTCGGCAAGGAGAGTTTCCTTTTATAGTCAGCAGGCCCCTGAGGAACCTTTTCTTTTTGTGAAGGGGGGGTCTGGCTCACAAACTCTCCATGCTCCTGCTTCAGCCTGCTGAGGGCTGGAATTAATGACAGGTCTGCACCGCCATGCTCCCACTCAGAAGCTGTCGGGACTGAGATGGGGGCCGGTCGTGTAGAGATACACATTGCATCCAAGCAGAAGGTCCAGAGAGAACCTTCACTACTGTTTCATCCTTCCTTTCTTTCTTTATCTCATGTGTGACCGCGTATGTGTGTATGCACATTCAAATATGTGTGGAGACCAGAGGGCAACTTCCATTGTCTTTCCTCAGGAACACTGTCCACCTTATTTTGAGACAGGGGCTCTCGGTGACTTGGAACTCACCAACTAGGTTAAGCTGCCTGGTGACCAAGCCACAGGGACCTGCTCTGTCACCACTTTCCCATCTCTGCGTTTACAGGCATGCATTAGCACGCCTAGCTTTTCCGTGTGGGTTCTGGGATCCGACTCCGGCTCCTCATGCGTGCACAACAAGCACGTCTGAACCATCTTTCCAGCCTCCCTATGTGCTTGCTTGATTGTTTTTTTTTTTTCTCTTCTGTTTTTAAAGCAAAGTCTCACCACCATAGCTTAGGGTGGCCTTGAACTCACGATCCTCCTTCATCAGCCTCGTAAGTTATGTAATCATAGGCATGTGCCACCTGACTTTTTCTTAATTATTCAAGGTCCGAAATCTCTAGGAAAATCAGTGGTCACTTTAGATTGCCTGCATCCACACAGACCTGCACCTATCTCCCTTAGCCTAATATTCCCCGTACCTGTTGAAGAGCTTTGTGGACACACCACAATCCCGAATGTCCAGGTACTCCAGAGATATCAGACTAAGCATTCCTAATGTGTGAAGGCACATGTGAGCTTCAATATCCATGATTAGCACTCTCTGGGTTGGAGGAGATCCTATCCCTGGAACTCAGAGGTAATGATGCATTTCAATATAGTATAGGCTACAGTTGAATCCCCTTATGAGCTAATTATCCCTAGAAAACAGGAACACTTCATGGTGGACAGAACCTCCCAAACTTTTCAGATATGATATATCTCATAGTGTTCAAAAAGGAAAACCACAAAGTCAAAAATGAAGGGGAGCCTTAAAAAGCGAGAGCCCAGGGGTGGTCAAGATGGCTGCCCGCTGGTGACGTAGCAATAGTACTCATTGGCATTCTCTATTTCGTAGATGTTCTCCTCGATGGTATAGACGTTTTCCTCCGACCGGTGTCTGCTTGCTCCCGCATTCGTTAGCCCCACTGGAGGGAGGTTGGCCAGTGTGATGAGGCTGTGAAGATAAAAGGATGCCGTTGACAGAATTCCCAGAGAACAGAGAAGAGAGTGAAAAGAGCCGTCTTCACTGCTGACAGCAGCCAACTGACACCCAGGACTCAGCACTGGGTGCGCACTGAGAGAAACCCAGGCAGTAATTTGGGGAACAATTAAGGACATGTAATTACTCTTAATTTTCTTAGGTATGTAAACCCTAGTCCCTGTTCTTAGGAGTTGTAGACTGAAGGGTTTGGGATGTGTCAAGATGCCTGCAACATCCTTACGAGTGGTTGAGAGAAAGCCCTGTGCTTACTGAGAACTAAAAACACAGGTGTTCCACGTGTCGATTAGGAGTTGAAGGTAACGTGCTTTAACGTCCCTTGCGCTGTTGTTTCAACCCTCTGTGAACTCCAACAGTTTGAAAAGGAATGGGAAAGTGTGAATGTGTCAGAGACCCAATCGGGCTTGAGTTGGAATTCTGTGTTTCTTCCCAACACCCAACACCATGACTTGGGTAAACGCATTTGTTTGTGTGTGTGTGTGTGTGTGTGTGTGTGTGTGTGTGTGGTTGGTTGCTCATTTGGTTGGGGTTTTAAATGTTTTTAGTGCTTTGTATAAAATAAGGGTTTCATGACAACCTTTTTTATAGCCATATATTCTGTGTTCTGCCCATATTCGCACACGTCATCAATATCTCATGTGCCCCCTCCTCTTCCCAAATAGTCGAGCACATCATTTCACGGATAGCAAATTGATGCCTGTCAGCGCTACCTATGAATAACATGTTTCCAGTTTCACTTCTGATGAAGCATAATGGTACTGATAATTAAATACTATATTTGGATTTATATGACTTTTCACTTTATATTACCTTGTCTTTGAAACATTCTGAATTTTGTTGATATATGAAAAAAGAGCTGGTTTCTATATTCAGCAGATAATTATATTTTCCATTGAAATACATTACAATTTTTCATGTATTGAATCTTACTAAAACTGTAAAATGTCTCTCTCTGTCTCTTTCTGTGTCTCTGTCTCTCTCTCTCAGTGTGTGTGTGTGTGTGTGTGTGTGTGTGTGTGTGTGTGTGTGAAGAGTCAGGAGTGGAGTAATGATGAGGATCACCTGGAGAGTTTTGAGAACAATACCATCTCGGGCTCCATCTCCCAAGATCCTGATTCAGTTCCTTTAGGTGTGTCCTGTATCTGCAGGATTAGTGCCCAGGTCATCCTAACACACTGCCACGTCTGGAAATTCCTAGGTGGGGCTATAAAACCCTGACCATAGTGGCTTGATTTTTGTTGTTGTTATTTGTTTGTATGTTTTTCTCATTCTGGTAACACCATGAAAACAGTAAGCACTGAGCTAAAGGTGTAGTTCACTGGAAACTAGAAACAAATATTTTTTAGTAATTAGGCAAACTATACACCTCAACTTTAGAACTGAGGAAGCTAAATGTACAGGAGGGCAAATATTGAATTTTCATTTCATAAACAGAGGAAGTCTAACCTAAGATTTCAAAGCTTCCAATAGGAACTTCTCAGAGGAAGAATAAAATCATAAGATGGTAGGAAACCCCAATACCCTTTTCCCTCTTCTGTGTTCTTACCTTGAATTCTGTAACTTCTTTTTCTTATAAGAATACCCTGGGTAAAGGTGGAAGAAAAACCAATGAATACTTTTCTAAGATAACTTGAAAAAAGAAACAAAATGGACTGGTTGGAGATGAGAGCAGCTTGGTGACATTTGACCTTGCCTTAGAACAAACTAAATCAGCCTGTTAGCAATCTTAGGACGATATTAACAATAATAATGTGGAGCTCTTACTTAACAAACATTATGAGGACTATTCTGTGTGCGTTGCAGTTTGGTAGGCACCGGGGACACACAGGAGGAGTTGTGAGTGCTGACTCCATGAGGCATGCGTCCGAGTGAGGAAAGAAGGAAGGAGGGGAGGAAGAGTGGAAGAAAGGAAGGACAGGAAGGACAGAAACAAATAATTTCAAATTGCACTGCATTATAAAATGAAACCAGCACCATACTAAACCAGAACCAGAGAAGGTTAGGCGAGCACGGTAAGACGTGACTTTTGAGGTCTGTTCAGAAAGAACAGAATGAGTCACCCATGTCAAGAGCGAGGGCAAACACTCCAGGAACAGAGAACTCTTGGCAGAGATCTGGGTGGGTGTCAAAACCAAAACGATAATGAGAGCAAAAGAGTGGCCCCCAACAATCTAAGAGGTAAAGCTGAGGCTTGGTCCCAAAGGCCTTTTCAGTTATTATCTTGTAATCCCAGCCTATGGGATGTGGAGGTAGGAGGATCAAGGGTTCGAGTCAAGCAAGCAATCCATGAGATCCATCTCAACCAAACAAACCAACGAATCAACAAAAAAAAAAAAGAATTTGGACAGTGTGAGACAGCAAGATTGGTAGGGCACCATTGAATGATGGTATGACCCGGTTACTATGTAGAGAACTGATTAAAAGGAGAAATTAAAAAAAAAAAACGAGCAAGATGCAGAACAATGAAGCAGTCTTTGATCTATTTTTGCACAGAGGCTGCAATTGATGCTGATTACATATTGAGATGTTGAAAAAAGAGGATTCTGGGATGACTTCTGCATTTCTGACATAAGAAACCAGAGAGAGACAGAGAGACAGAGAGAGAGACAGAGAGAGAGAGAGAGAGAGAGAGAGAGAGAGAGAGAAATAAGAAGATGTCCAGGGCCTGACAGCTGGGTCCTGGTGGGTGGAATTTGGAAGCAGAAGCCTTGTATCTGACATGACTGTATGAACCTTCAAAGTGGAGCTATTACCTGGACAGATAGACAGGATGCATCAACATTGTAAGAGTTGAAAAGATTAAAGTGAAGATTTAAGTCCATGGAATTATGCTATAAAGTAGAGTGTTTTTTTTTTACAAAGAGAAAAAGGCCAAATCCTGAGGAACTTCAGCTTTTAAACACCAGGCAGAAGACGAAATATCTGTATAATGGGATGGACCAACCAATCAAATACAACAGACAGTGTTTCCAAAGTCAAAAGAAAACATTTTAGAACAAAGTATGGATTCTACTTGGGATATTATTGCAGAAAGACAAAGCTATCTGTGACCATTAGTAAAAGGAAAGCAATTTGGGATTGACTAAAATTGTATCTGTGGCACTTTAAGGATAGGAGTGAGATGGACAGTTCAGAAGGAAAACATAAAGGGATGGAGACTTGGCACAGGGAGCACCTTTGCTGTGTCCTTGGCTAAGAGAGGGTTGAAGGAGGCTAAGCAGTAGTGAAGCTTGGGTGACCATCTCAGTCGGTACACAGTCCACTCGAAAGCCAGAGGACTGATCCACTTCCAGGTCAGCTTGTGGCTATAATGTCATGACTTATCTGCCACCTCATCTGTCAGATTGCTACCCACAAAATCTAGGGAAAAATTATAAACTGAACAGAACATTCTGATCTATTTCTTAAAACAACCCTCTGTGTTTACCCTTGTCCATCTAAATCCACTGTGGTTGGTCAGGAACGCCTACAAACACCAAAGTGTGCTCAAGTTCCTTATATAAAGCACCACTAATACCTGTCACATCCTATCACGTACTTTAAATGACCTCAAGACAGCGTGTAATATCTAGCATGCTATAAACGTTATACTTAAATAGTTGCTGCCTTCTTTGGGAGAATAAAAAGTCTATACATGTTAAGGATAAATAATTTTCAATAATTTTTTACTTTATGGTTGAGTCCAGAGATGTAGAACCTGTGTGCACTGAAAGTTAGCAGTTATATGTGCATTAGATTTCACCCATGCCTCTTTTAAAGACAAGAATGAGTATAGACTTACTAAGCAAAAGAGAGAAATAACTCCCAACATGGGGAGGGACTCCAAGGGAAGACTACCCACTTAACTTCTTACCTTTTACATAAATTACAAAAGTTCCTAATTTCTAGGTCTCAGAAGAACTCAAAACGTAGTACAAGTTATCATTTCTCCTGTATTCATTTAGTAGCCTCCAGATCTCATGTTCGACTGATCAGTCCCCACTGTTTCCTGCAGCCTCTCAGGGAGCTCATGAGAGTGTATATAGGGTTGTTTCTTTCTTGGAAAAACCCGTTTACCGAGAAGTAGTAGAAAATAATCAGGAGAAGTAAGGCTGATTTATATTTATCAATTAACTGTATGGATTTGGACATATTACTTAACACATCAGCATGCTATCATGGTATCAATTGTACCTAGTATATTTTATACTGTATATCATAGTTAAAGGACCTAACCTCCTTGAAGTCCTCAGCAACTTCAGTTCCTGGTCAGGGTGACCAAGCCAGCCTGGTTTTTCTCAGATGGGCCCAGCTTTACCAATGGAAGTTCCACATTTTAGGAACTTCCTTCAGCCTTGTGAAAATCTGAGATGGCTATGACCCGACATAGATAGTCCCTGTTGTGCGTTCAGGAGAAAGGCTTGATGTGGGATTCCCCACTATATGCTGTGAATATGTTTTATTACCACTGGTTAATAAAGAAGCTGCTTTGGCCAGTGGCTTAGCATAGTAAAGCCAGGCAGGAAATCCAAACAGAGATAGAGAGAGGGAGTAGGTGGAGTCAAGCAGACTCTGGCCAGCCACCAAGGGAACAAGACATGTAGAAAATGAGGAAACACCACAGTCACACGGCAATACATAAACTACAAAAATAAAATAAAATGGATTAATTTAAGACATAAAAAGAAGCCCGAGTTAATAGGCCAAACAGTGTTGTAATTAATATAGTTTCTGTGTGATTATTTGGGTATGGGCAGCCGGGAAACAAAGTGCGGTCTCCCTTCACAAAGGGTGTTGTAAACGCATTACACTCTGGAGAAATACCTTCTTCTCTGCTCGCAGAGAAAAGAAACTATATCACAATTATGAAAGGGTGGAAGGCTTTGGAGTTATGGGAACATTTGGATCTTTAGTGCGACAATGGTCTCCAAGTACACTAACCAAACTGAAAAAAAAACTTTTTCCCCCTGAGACAGGGTCTCCTACAGCGCCCCTGGCCTGGAACTCAGTGTGTAGCTGACTATGGCCTTGTACTTCTGATCCCCCTGCTTCTACCTCCAGAGAGTTCTGTGATTACAGAACTTACAGTACACCCCCATACCTTCTTTTATGGGCTCTTGTGTTTCCTGCATGTTACAAAAATACTGTAACAATTGCACTACATTCCCAGACCTCAAGTTGTCTGTTTGAATAAAGACAAATAGTATTGCTGAGTGCTGTGAGGAGAAACCCCAGTCTGGAAGCCCAGGCATGGTTCAGTGTTAAAGAGAGGCACCTGAGAAAGCAATATAGAAACCCACACAGAGAGAGAGGTTGTGTTGTTGGGCTTCCTAATAAGCATGGGTATATTTATGATTTAGCTAGAGTAGCTCTTTCAGTGAGTTAGAGAGAGACAGAGAGAAGAGAGGATGGGGGGATGGGAAGAGATGAGACAAAGAGAGGGAGGGGGAAGAAGAGGAGGGAAAAGTAGAAAAGGCGAGGTACCCAAATGCTACAACTCACAAAAGGCCAGAGGACAGTCTGAGGGAAGAAATTCATTTTCTTCTTCCACCATGTGGGTCTCTCAGATCAAACTCAGAGCATCAGGCTTGTGACAGGCTCCTTAACCCACTAAGCCATCGCTCCAGCCCCAGGATTAGCTTGTGTATCTAAAGATAGCCAATCTGGCTGTCTGTGGCACTTGAAGGTCTAGACTTGGACCTTGCTCACAGTGAAACTTGGAGAACTCAGCTGCTCTCAGCAAGCTGTACTTCCCTCTGCCCTAGACTGGGAAGGAATAGTACAGCCTAGTTTATAACTGTTGATGACTAAGATGTCTGTAAAACATTTAGCACAGTGTCTACCTGCCACATAGGTATAAGTCTGAGAGATCGCTAGTTATCAGTTATGTTATGGGCAATGTCTGGAAGGACAAGTGAGTGTCCTTCAGGTTTGCTTAAAAAATTGTATTTCTATCTAGGTTTGCACTGTTCCTATGGTAACCATTCTTTATCAGAAAGTAAAAAAAAAAAAAAAGCACTATGCAGCAACTTACATTTAAGGAATAAAACACCAAAGATGAGTGCCAGGGCCAGCCCAGCAGAAACTCCTACTCCGATATAGACAGCCGTTCTGATGGTTTTTCCAGAGTCCTTCACTTCATCGGTCCATGTGGAAATTTGCTGGGAGACAGAAAATAGGAGTCAAGTTTGAGAAGCCCAGAAACTGGTCATATGCTCAGAAAGTCTCGCGATTCAAGAGGACCACTCTTCTTCATAGTCTCTCAGGATTGCAGGAATGATGAAGCCTCCCTTGATCTGTCCTCTTCTAGACTAGACCCAGTTAGCAGAGGAATGAAATGGGCTAGCTCAGTGTTTGCAGTTAACAAGGAGATAAAGCAACCCCCTCCAGTGCTGTGGGTGTAGAAGTCACTCTGCGGCCCACCTGCCCGCATCCCTTCAGAGGCTGGATAGTGGATCCTACTACCTCAAAATTGTGTGTTCAGAGGGATGGAGTTCTGGAAGCCTTTTAGGGAAACCACCATTCACACAGAAATGTCACACAGCAGTGTTACCAGAGCCAGGACTTTGCAACCACACAGTCCTCAGCTCAAATCCCACATCCCCAAAAGCTCAGTGACCCTGTGGAGTAATTGAGACAATTAGTGCAGAACCTGTTTCTTTAGGAGCACTTGATCAGTGGCAAACACTACTGTTATTTCTCTCATTTCTGACACCAAGGAGTCTTAGAGAACATCCTTCTATTTCTAAATTGTTAGTCCACATCCCACCTTCAAAGGCAGTAATAGTAAAGACAGTTTAGAAGAAAATAAGACACTTAGCCATAGCGATGAACATTCATAATCCCAGCACATGGGAGGCGAGGGCTGGAAAGTACCAAATTGAGGCCAGCATGGGCTACAGATGGAGACCCTGTTTCAAAAAGACCCACAAAAGCACATTTTATATATATATATATATGAGAACTAATTAGATACAGTAGGTAATGAACAAGAAGAAGACATGAACATGGGAGGAGACAGGAGAGGGATCTAGGAGGAGTTGGAGGGGGGATAAAGTGAATCTTATTGAAATACACTGTATTCATGTACAAAATAATCAAAGACTAAATAAAAACTACATTTAAAAACAATAAAATGATAACCAATGAAAGCAGTAAATCTCAGAGGTTAAATCCTCCATTTAATCACTACACGTGACTTCTGCAAAAGCAAGATGCCTATGTACAAGTACTATGTGTTAAGCATCTCAAAGAGGGGAGATAGACAAGCACACAAGATGCCAGGCACTAACCATGAGTGCTCAAATAAGGGACCGAATTAGATGAATGCAGGCCTCTAGATGTGGCCTTAAAGAGTTGGTTTTATTATTCTTACCTATTTATTGTTGGTTTGTGTGTGCACACGCATACATGTGCATCCATGCCTTGGTACATGGTGATTAGAGGACCACTCTCAGGAGTCAGGTCTTTGCCTCCACCATGAGTTCTAAGAATCACACTCGCACGTAGTGAGGCTGTGCAGCAAGTGCCTTTACCCACTGAGAAACTCAGTGTCCACTCATTGAAGTTGCTACTACTAGCTGGCTTTTTAGTGTTTTTTTTTTTCCCTGTCTAGTTAAGGACATAATAGTTCAGTCCATAAATTCTTGCCTCTGGGTGTTCCTGAGTCTTGTTACATAAAAATGAATTTTAAAAAATGCAAAATACAAGCTGGACACCCCAGCCCTGTGGAGGAGGAGGTGGAGAAAGACTGGGAGTTCGTTATCATTCTTAGCTACTTAATAAGTTTAGAATCAGCCTGGGCTACATGACACCTTGTCTCAATGCCACAACAAGCTCGAAGTGGAAAACCTGAAAATAAAGGACAAGAGACCTTCACAGTGACACATAGCAGTGGCATTTGCAAAGACAGATGAAACGCTTCTTTCTTCTTGGGGGTTTTTCACACTTAGTACATGCCAGAAATCTCACACTCACACCCAACTTCTATCAGTAACAGGCCTATATGGTCAGACCTGTCAACACATGAAAGCCACAGAGGGTGAAGACAAGAAAGGTACAAGCTTTCCCACACAAGGGGTGCCCTGGAGGAAGTCTACGCTCATCATAATGTCAGCACACACACCAAAGTTACTTACTGTTTGGCTTTTATCCTGGAGGGTCCCCAGAGTCTGAGTCTCTGTCACACACATACACAAAGGGGAGGAAGTAGACAATAGTTAAGAATGGTTTTTAACTCCAGATCAAAGAAAAAAAATTAAACACACTAGCAATCCTGTTTAATACTAATTCGTCTCCCTATGTTCCACAAAAATTAGAAGACCAACAAAAGTCACTGAATGCATACAAACCAATCTCAGGGTGGTGTCCTTCCACACAGATAATCACCTCCTCTCTCTGTTAGGTCTTAAATCCAGGACAAATGGCTGAGGGGCCGATTTAACATACCAAAGCAGACCTGGCTGCCAGGTTCTCCCAGCATCCCTCAGTCAGGTTACAAGGTTTGACAGGCATACCTCACCCCCTACCGTGAACTCTCTAGCCCAGGAGCTGGGTTACCCTTCCCTATATAATCTAATCCTTTGGGCTAGGCCATTTCGTTTTTACCCATTATCCTCCAGGCCTCTTAGTTTCCTGGTCTCCTTTCCTCTCCCCTCTCCTCACATGGCCCTACTCAGGGTCACCTCTGGACTCTTCCCAGATGCCTTTGCTTCTGGTTATGCTCTCCCTCCTATCTACAATAAACCTTCTCTCCCACCACCTGCAGGAACAATCATGCCAGCCTTTAGCCATCCAGTAATATTAATATCGTTTGGTCATAGTCTAATTAGACTTTCAAAGACACAAAACTCTGGGAAAAGTTTAACATTTATTCATTGCCATGGTATTTAGTTAGCAGCTTTCAAATGGAAACAATCGCTATGGTTTACCGGGGCCAGGCATTTTGCCAAACACTTTTAAGGAACTATCTCGTTCAGTACGAAAAGAACTGTCCTAAAAACACAGACTCATAGAAAATGAGTGACTGAGTGTGACTTCCTCTGGTCTGAGTGATGAATGTGTCATCAAAGAAACTGGGAGGGAGCTGGGCGATGGTGGCACACGCCTTTAATCCCAGCACTCGGGAGGCAGAGGCAGGCGGATCTCTGTGAGTTCAAGACCAGCCTGGTCTACAGAGCTAGTTCCAGGACAGGCTCCAAAGCCACAGGGAAACCCTGTCTCGAAAAAAAAAAAAAAAAAAAAACAAACTGGAAGGGAAATTCACAAATTCCTCAAATTGAATGAAAATTAAATACAGCATAGCCTGCAGATATAGTGTATGCACTGTAAGAGGGAAGCTTTAGCTACAATGCATTTAAAACATCGGAGAAACCTTGAGGTCTTAGAAAAGTAAGAACAACTAAACCTAGACGTTGGGGTAGGAATTAATGCCAGTACAAAGAATCAATGGAAAGATGGACCAAATCAGTAATCTCTTGGACAAATTAACCAAAAGAGAAAAAAAAAAGACCCAAATCCATAAAATTAGAAATGAAAAGGGAGACATTACAACTGCTAAAAAAAATGGCATTTAGAAAATCATTATGACTTACTTAGATATTCCACTAAACTGAGCATCTAAAATAATGAATTGGTTTCTAGACACATATGATCTACCAAAACTAAACCAAGATAATCTGAACAACTTCAGATTTATAACAAAAAATGAAATTGAAGCAATAATTATTTATTCCAACTAAATACAGCCCAGATGGTTTCACTGCTAAATTCCACCAGACCTTTAAAAAATAGCTAACACCATGTTCTTTGTATTATTTCATGAACTTTAGATGGAAGAAATGCTCTCAAGATCATTGTATAGAGCTAATTTGGCTAGCCTGATACCAAAACCAGAAAAAGACATAAGAACAGAAGGCCAATCTTCCTGATGAAATTAGTTCAAAAATAATCATCAGGGCTGGAGAGATGGCTCAATGGTTAAGAGCATTGCCTGCTCTTCCAAAGGTTCTGAGTTCAATTCCCAGCAACCACATGGTGGTTCACAACCATCTGTAATGAGGTCTGGTGCCCTCTTCTGGCCTGCAGACATACACACAGACAGAATATTGTATACATAATAAATAAATAAATATTTTTTAAAAAAATAAATAATCATCAATAAAATATCTGCAAACCTTCCAGGTCAGCCAGCCATGGCAACACAGTGAAACCTTGTCTCAAAAACAACCGTAACAACAAACAACTAGAAAACCAAATTCAATAATTAAAAAAAAAAAAATCTCGAATGTAATCAAAATGCCTTCACCAACAGAAGCAGGGATGGTTCAGCATATGCAAATCAATAATAGTAATAAGTCACATAAATAGACTAAATGGCTTCCCTGGACTTTTGACCAAGATTGAGTACAGTACCTTGAGGGCAGTGGAGGAAGTCCAGAGTGAATGTGTGCTGTTAACATGGGTCCAGCCATGTCAAAGGCTGCTCCAGTGCCTCAGCCCCATGGGAGTAACAAAGCCTTCCTTGGAAGAGCCTTGGGACTGCCAAAGCCTTCCTCAGGGATTCAAGTATGATTGTTGATAGTGTGTTCAGAAAATGTCCACCTTAGCCTCCTCCCAGCCTGATGTTCACAGCCCGAAGCTCTCCTCCAGATCTAGCTCCTACCCAGATTAGCTAAACCTGCCTCCTTGTTCAGCCATATGCAATAGCCCTACCTCCCTGTTCAACTCTATATAAGAAACGTACTGAGCTTCCCAGGTGCTGAGGCTCCCCCATCCAAGGACCCAGCGCACACAATCACAGCTTTTCTGCATGTCTATGTGGGTTTGTCATTTCTTCATTCCCCCTCCACTTCAGTAAGTAGCCAAGTCCTTTAGCTGGGCAAAGACGTGGCAGTACATAAAGAGATTTAAGGACAAAAATCAGATGATCATTCTCAGTAGACTCAGGAAGGGCCAGTGACAAAGTTTAGCATGCCTTTATGCTAAAAGAAGCTGAGAAGAGACCAGGACTAGAAGGGACATGCCTCAGCACAGGGGCTGTGGAAGGAGCTGCTCAGTTGATAAAGAGTACATGCCTAGGTGGGCGATGGTGGCGCACGCCTTTAATCCCAGCACTCGGGAGGCAGAGGCAGGCGGATCTCTGTGAGTTCGAGACCAGCCTGGTCTACAGAGCTAGTTCCAGGACAGGCTCCAAAGCCACGGAGAAACCCTGTCTCGAAAAACCAAAAAAAAAAAAAAAAAGAGTACATGCCTAGCACTTACAGAAACCCCGTGTCTGGTCACAAACACTGCATAAATATTAAGTGTGGCAGCCCGTGCCTGTGATCCCAGAACTCAGGAGACAGGAGTTCAAGGTCATCACTGACTACATAGCAAGCTTGAGAACAGCCTGGGCTACATGGGACTCTGTTTCATAAAAAAATAAAGAACTCTTTGAGAAGGAACATACCCCAGTATAAAGTTTATATGCAACAGACCCTACAGTCAACATTGTAATAAATGGGGGAAACTCAAAAAACAGTCAACTGAAATCAGAAATTGAACAAGGGTGTCGACTTTCTCCATTGCTATTCAATACAATTTTTGAAGTCCTAGCTCGAACAATAAGAAAAGAGAAAGAAACAAAAGGGATGTGAATTGAAAATGGAGTCAACATGTTCCTATTTGTAGATGACACAATAGTGTACGTAAGAAATACTGAAGCCTGTACCAGAACATTCTTAGAGCTGATGCTCTTAGCAAGCCGTAGATACATAATCCATATACAAAACGCATGGCTTTCTGACACGCCAACAATAAACTGGATAAGAAAGAAATCAGGAAAACAATCCATTAACAATAGCTTCAAAAAATAAAATATATTGCCTGGGTACAGTGGCTCATACCTTTAATCCCAGCATTTGGAAAGCAGAGGTAGGCGGATCTCTGTAGTGGCATTTCATTTGTATTTTAATAAATAAAGCTTGCCTTGAGATCAGAAATGTAAAACAATCATACTGGTCAGCCTTACAGACCAGGCAGCAATGGCACATACCTTTAATCCCAGTAGCCACACTAGCTTGCCATAGAAACCAGGCAGTAGTGGTGCACACCCTTGATCCCAGAACTAGAGAGGATTATAAAACTGGAGGAGACAGCTCTCGGTCACAGTCTCATTCTGGGGTTTCCTGGAGGCAGGATCACCATTTTTGGACTGAGGTCGAGGTAAGAGTCAGTGGCTGGCTGCTTTGCTTTTCTGGTCTACATTGAATCCAATATCTGTCTCTGCGCTTCATTAAAAATCATACTTGATATCTCTGTGGGTCAAGGCCTCCTGATCTACACTGGGAGTTCCAGAACAACCAGGGCTACACAGCAGGGCACTGTCTTTAAAAACCAAATAATTCAGGGGCAGGAGAGATGGCTTAAGGGCACTTGCGGCTCTTGCAGAGGTTCTGGGTTTGGTTCCCAGCACCCACATGGTGGCTCATGATCTTCCATAGCTCTAGCTGGAAAGGCTCTGAAGCCCTCATCTAGCCTTCATTCCCACCAGACATGCGAGCAGTGCACTAACAGCTATGTCAGCAGAGCCCTCACACACGTAAAATAAATATAAATAAATCTTTTTTTAAAAACTAAAATACCTAAACCTTACCAAGGAAGTAAAAGAACTCCAGAATCAATATTTTCAAAGAAATTGAAGGAACCACCAGAATGCAGAAAGACTTCTCATAGAAGAGCTGAAGTAATATGAAAATATCGATCTTACCCAAAACAGTGTACAGGTTCTCCGCAAACCCAACCACCAAAATCTCATTCTTCTCAGCAATGGAAAAACAATCCCCAAACTCATAAAGACCTCTAATAGATTAGCAATCCTGACCCCAAGTTGTTTACAGAGACCCATGACAAGCAACACTGAACTAACACAAAACAAACAGGTAGCTCAATTGAATAGGATGGAGAGCCAACAAACAAAGCCACGCAGCTACAGACAGCTGCTGTTTTGACAAACATGCCCAGTACATGCACTGGGGGAAAAGACAGCCTCCTTAGTGAATGAAGCTGGGATAACGGGATTTCTCCATGTGAAAAGGCAAAACCAGATCTTTATTTCTCATCCAATACAAAAATCAACTCAAAATGGGTCCAAGAGCTTAATATAACATGTGAATCTTCAAAACTTCCAGGGAAATACTT